GGTCAGCTGGATCATATGGCCAAAAGGCAGTGTTGATGGTGATATGGATTGGACTCCCTGGAGAGTTCTTTCCTACCCCCCAGGGAGTCAGGAAATCTTTCATGTATTCTGACAAAAAATCTTAGTTATTGATGTGTGGCTTACAGAACTATAGGGGTCTAACTCTGTGATTGTTTCTTTGTGGTGGAAAATAAAAATGCAATAATTTGTTATTCTGAAAGGAATGCCATGGAAATCTTCTGACCCTAGATCTTCCCAGATTTCACTAAAGTGTCCAGTCTATGAATCTTTTGTAGGGGATTATTTTCTACCTCTGAAATTAACATGTCTCATAGGACTATAAGCGTATTAGCCACTTCTTTCTCATGTCGGTAATTCAGTATCATGCCATCTGCTGTAATGGAGTAGTGTGATATTCTGTGAAATGTCCAGGTGCTTCAGATCTCTTAGACTGTACTATGACAAAAGGCAAGTGACTTAATATAGGCGTGAAGCATAAATGTAAATCAATATTATTCTTTACAACATGAATATAAGCTATTGTTGATACACTTTTTAAATTTGCATGGATAGAGACACATTTGCAAAATCAGTGGCTGTAAACCACAGACCGAAGGTCATATTCATCTTTTCTAACACCACCACCACACCCATTGCTGCAGTAAGTTGGATCATGACATATATTTTATTATATATATATAATATAGTATTATATTTAGTGTTGCATCTGTTTTTGTGATTTAGATGTTTTTTATTTTTTTTTTTTTGACTAAATGTTCCACCTAAAATTTCTAGTACAGTATTGAGTAGTAGTGGTTAATGTAGACACCCTTATCTTGTTCCTGCTGTTAAAGGGAAAATATTCACTCTTTCACTAGGCATGTGTGTGTGTGTGTGTGTGTGTATGTGTGTTTATACATATAAAACAGTTTTTATACACCATCTCAGGTGGGACATAGCTTTCTTGGAGGTCTCCATTTGGCTTTCACCTCTATGACAGCTTTTACTCTACTAACCAGAGACTCAGTGTGTATGTCACTTTAATCTGCCATGGATATCAATTCCCATTAAGCAATGGGGACTAAGGAAATGCTTGCTTAGTAGATTGACAGACTCAGTAGGTCACTGTGATACAGAACTTAGTCAGGACCCTAATTACTCTCTGGGCTCTGAAACTTCCCACTTAGCTAGTAGAACCATGTTGACACATTAAATTTCCAAACAGGAAGGGTACTGAATTATTTAAAGGGCATGCATTTATATCTGTAGTTTAGATAATCCATGTATTTTTTTCAGATAATCAATAGACATAAAAACATTGAATATAGGTCCCATTCAAACACTGGAACATATTTGTATTTGTATTATGTAATTTATCTATTGTCTACTTGAAATTGAAAGTTAACTGAGAATTCTCTATTTTGGGGGATTATCACAGCATTTAATTGTCATGAAGATCTAGGGTCCCTCATTCTAGAGAAGAGACTAGTTTTCTGACAATGGATTCCATATTAGGAAATCAGCTCATATTAGGGAAACTAACAGGGAATAATGATTTTTCTTAAATGTTCAAGAATTATGTGTGTGTGTATGTATGTATATGTCTTCAGGCTCTTTTTGAGAATAGACTTTCCTGGTGAGTCTTTCAGTCTTACAGAGCACACCCTTTGCAGCACTGGCACTGTGCTCAGCTTCTTTATTCCTTCTCTATCATCCTGAATGTTGACGAGGGTAACTTAAGCCTTTTGACCTGCAGGTTCAGCACTTTGGGTCTGATTTCTATTTTTAAATAAAAATCTCCCTGAAGAACAACTAGCTCAGTGTTGTTTTTGTGTTAACTGCAGCTCTAAACATAATGACTATCACATAACGGGTCTTCTCTGCGTTTCTCCCAAGGAAGTCATGCTCAGTTTGCAATAATATGACCCACTCTAGAGGTCATTGCTGCCTTGGAATGCTCTTTAAATGACCCTGTTCATTCTTAAAAGTTATGTGAGTCTTTGGACCCATCATATATCTTTGTAACTGTAGGAGTTCTACAAAAGTTTGGTTGTAAACTTCCACAGTATCTGGAATTTATTAGAATTTTTTAATCTTAAGTCTAGAGAGATCTAAAATCTCACTACCCAACTTCTACCAGTAGAGGCTTCCTTTGACTCTGTTCCTCTTGAATGACCACTCTGCTAAAATTTTCCTAGTAACAAGAAAAAACAGTCTTTTCTTTAAAATCAACAATGTTCTTACACATTACAACGTTACCCCATTCAACTTAGTGTTATTCTTTAAAGGTACACAGTATGAAGATATTCCTTTTTTTTCTTTATGGTAGTGACGCAGAGGTGAAAAAAAAAAAAAAAAACCTGTCACAATGACTTTTCTGCATATCCTAACAAAGTAGTTACTTGAGTTTTATCTCCTCATTTCTAGTTTCTATTTTACACAATACGTTACCTAGATCACCTTCCTCTATCAAAGCTTTGGTTTGTCAGTATTTGTAGAATGTATGAGTAAGAGTTAGATAAAAATCTCCACTTAGAGCAGGGCAAAGAGAAATAATTATTTATATTTGCACATTTTAACTTTATTAACAAAGCCATAGTTGTCAAGTTCTTTATCAGCAAGCTTTCTTTAAGTAAGGCCCCTTCAATAAGTTCTCGTTATTTATTTATTTATTTGGAAGTGACATTTGAAAGCCCTAGGGAGAGCCCCAAGCCCCTGCAGGTGAATCAGTGTAGTGTTCTCCTGTTCAAAAGTGTGCTATCAGAGCTTCCAGGTCCGTGCAGGACAGCTGACCAGATTGTCCAAGGAAAATCTTTTGTCTTTACCTCTGTTGGCATGAAACATTGTATCTTTTTTTAAAAAAAGAATTATTTATTTATTTGAAAGTCAGAGTTACACAGAGAGAGAAGGAGAGGCAGAGGCAGAGAGAAAGAGGTCTTCCATCCGTTGGTTCAGTCCCCAATTGGCCGCAATGGCTGGAGTTGCACCAATCTGAAGCCAGCATCCAGGAGCTTCTTCCAGGTCTCCCAGGCAGGTGCAGGGGCTCAAGGACTTGGGCCATTCTGCACTGCTTTTCTACGCCATAGCAGAGAGCTGGGTCGGAAATGGAGCATCCAGGTCTTCAACCAGCACCCATATGGGATGCCAGCACTGCAGGGAACGGCCTGATCCGCTATGCCACAGCACCAGCCCCACATATTGTACCATGTATAAAATGGGCCATAGTACTCTGTTTACTTCGAGTTTTCTTCTAAAATTTCATATTCCCCCATGCCCAATATGCATCTAATCAAGAGGATAATTTACCACTGCTCATGTCCTTACATTTTTTTTTTTTAAATCCAGACTTGTGTAATCCAGTTTATGGTGTATGTGTATATGCCAGAGAGGGAAGGAGGAAATGGAGAGGGAAGGAGGGAAGTAAGAGGGAGGAGGATTATTGGTATGTGTAAAAGTGTATGTTTTCTATATGTTGTTATATGTTTCTATATGTTATGTATGTTATAAATGAGACTACCTGAAGTTCTGTACAAATATGTATCAACAGTTCAGGATTTTTGTTCCCATCTCTTTGTGTTTCCTTAGAAAACCTATTTTCTACTTATTTTGAATGAGGCTCCAAATCTGACAATCATGGTGTGTACTGTAGACAAAACTGGGACTATTAGGAGAATGTGAAGCCAAAGGAGAAGTGAGTAGTCAGTGTAGTGAGGTGTTGGGCAGTGGTGGTAGATTAATTCCCTAGAAATTTACAGATACCTGGACAATTGATTCTAGGTTGTCTATCCTTATCTACAGAACACTTGGAGAGACTCACTCCAATCTGTTGTGAGAATATTCAGTGAGAATCAGCTTTGAGTAATGTATATTATCATCAGTATAAAATAATAAAGCATAGAGAGACTATCAGCTTAGGACAGTGTAAAGCTAATTTTCTGTACAGGTTTGATAAGAAGCAGAGGGAGTCCTTCCTGTGTGATATATCAAGGTGATAACAGGCCCATTAGGACAATTTGTTTTATATTTCTTAAAATAGATATGACTGAGGAAATGACAGATGGAGGTCAGGAAAAAATTCATGGAGTCCTTCACCTTATATTCATAAATCAATGACTTGGTCCCAGAGAGTTGGCTAAAAATATATTTCTCTTTCAGATGAAGGAGATTAGGTTGTGAAAAGAAGAATGTGTTGACTGGAATAACTGAGAACATCATCTCTGTCATTAACACCACACTAGAGAACAACGTGTAACCCAGGGAGAGGGAGTATTTATCTTTCACTTGCATTTTTCCAGTAACATAAAACCCCTCCCTCCCTGCCCTCTCCCCAACCCCCAACCACTCACAAATGTATAGGTTTGATTGAATAGTTAAGACTGTGAGTTTATAGTCACAAAAATAATTGGGTTCAGCTGACTGGCCCCTAGGAGGCGATATAGTTAAGGAAGAAATGATGTAAATGAAATGTAGCAAATATTTCATGACACAAGGATCAAAATATATATTATATATATACACCTCTTATTTATATATATATATATATATATATATCTGTGTATCTATATGTATATAATCTTCAGAAGTGTTCACATTGAGACAATACTAATGGCGGAACAACAATGACAAAATAGATGTTTGCTTTTTTTTTTCCCTTAAAGAGTCAATTCCAGCATTGACTCCCAAATTATATTGGTATAGTAAATGACAGTTTTGAATTGAAAATGCAATCTTTGAAGTTCAATGTGAAATACTGATTTTCAAAATAATTCCTTTTGAAATATAACTGTAACCTTTTAAACTTATAATCATGTACAACCCAAACTATAATGAAGGTACTTAACATGTCAGGAAAGGAGAAGAAAGAGTTCAAATGGTAAGGTAACATTGTGAATTTCTAGTGAGCTTTGCACTCTTGCTTCTATTTTTTTTTATTGCATGCCAAAAGCAGCACCAGAAAAAAAATCCTTTAAAGAAATACATTCTACAGCTTATCACTCATGTTGGAGAAAACTCATTTAATGCTTTTGTTGGCCATGATACTGAAAATAAGTCTTGATTGAAGCAAGCACAGTCGTATATTGAAGTACACAAATAGACACGTTTGCCGGGTTTATTCTGTAGCCTTGCTGCAGGAATGCAAATGAGCTTTTCCAGGCAGGGTTTCAAACTGTCAAGTGACAAAGGGGGGAGGGGGCAGGAAAAAAATCAATGGAGTTAACCTAGCACAGAAGTCTACAGATTAATTATGTTTAAAGAAACTGAAAACAATGTGTTTTTGTGTTGGCAACTTGAAAGATTGGTGCCTGAAATACTCCTTTATAGTATGTAAACAAATGGAGCCTAATCAATCCCAGAGATGGCAGTCACCACAGCTATAAAGGGTATCTAGGAAGGATTCTTGATTTCATTCCTAATAAATGAACAGGCTAAAGAAGACAGGAGCCCTTTTGCAGCTGCAAGCTGGATCTGTATGTTGTTCATATGGTGGAGACAGATGGGTATTGTGCCTTGAAGTATCAAGTAGCCATGTGTAGAACCTATTTGTATTGTGACTTGGGAATCTAGCAATGCAAGGGCGACTAAGTAGGCAGGTTGTATCCTATTCTGTATTTACATTTTGTAACAGAGACAAGAACTGATGCTTCCATGTTTATAGCATGTCCTCCTCATTGTTTGTGCCTCACTTGATAGATTATGCCCAGTTAGTGCCCAACTGTTATATATTCTTTAATTCAGTAAATTGAGGACATTTACATACATTATGTTGACTCTTGACTCAAGCTTCATTTAAATACTGAGTGATTTACTTGTTTATTAACCACTGGATATTGATTGAGGATCCAAAGATGGTTAGTTAGCTCTGCATGCTAGGGTTAAAAAAGAAGGAAGTTTTGGGTTATGTAAAGTCCAGTGGAGGTGACCAATTTTATGGGCACTCAGGCAAGAGCAGACCATTTTTTTTTTTCCATTTTCAATTCTCTTTATATACAGAAGATCAGTTTAGCATATATTAAGTAAAGATTTCAACAGTTTGCACCCACATAGAAACACAAAGTGAAAAATACTGTTTGAGTACTAGTTATAGCATGAAATCTCAATGTACAGCACATTAAGGACAGAGATCCTACATGAGGAGTAAGTGCACAGTGACTCCAGTTGTTGACTTAACAAATTGACACTCTTGTTTATGGCATCAGTAATCACCCTAGGCTCTTGTCATGAGCTGCCAAGGCTATGGAAGCCCCCTGAGTTCACCAACTCTGATCATATTTAGACAAGGTCATAGTCAGAGTGGAGGTTCTCTCCTCCCTTCACAGAAAGGTACCTCCTTCTTTGATGACCTGTTCTTTCCACTGGGATCTCACTCGCGGAGATCTGTCATTTAGGTGTTTTTTTTGTTTTTTTTTGTTTTTTTTTTTTTTTGCCAGAGTGTCTTGGCTTTCCATGCCTGAAATACTCTCATGGGCTTTTCAGCCGGATCCGAATGCCTTAAGGAGGGCTGATTCTAAGGCCAGAGTGCTGTTTAGGACATCCGCCATTCTATGAGTCTGCTGTGTATCCCGCTTCCCATGTTGGATCGTTCTCTCCCTTTTTTATTCTATCAGTTAGTAATAGCAGACACTAGTCTTGTTTATGTGATCCCTTTGGAAGAGCAGACCAATTTATGCAAAATAGCCCAGGCTCCCCTTTGGAAGACAGAGATGCTGTGAAAATAATTGATCACTTGGAGGGTTATCTATAGCACTGTATGTGTGTGTATACACACACATGCACACGTACACACACACACATACTTGAATTTGTACAGATGCAAGTTCCAAAGGAAAGAACAGATTGATTTGGTTTGATTTGCAGTGAAGATGTTCACTATTTGGCAGTTAAATGAGTGAAGGAAGCTGAGGATAGAGGAGGATAGGTTAACTTGCCCGACATGTACTGTGAGGAAGATAAATGCAGTTTTCACAATTGCACATGCCATCAGTGATTTTGCAGAGAAGATGTGAGTTTTGTAGAGAAGTACTGAAGAGTAGATAACTTCCTGAGATTAATTATATTTTGTAAAATCAGAAATTAGGCTTTGGCAATGCATTGGAAATCATTTATGGTGATACTACAGGTGAATATGAAATATTTGGAAAAATATGCAGCAGAAAGCAGCAAAAAGTTGTTAATTGGGCTCCTATTGTTGCCCCATGTTTTAAATAGTTTTCAGTTTATTTTACTAAGATGTAGATATTAAATTCATTAGTTATCAGAATAATCAAAATCGCAAGCTTTGAGGCACAAATTCGTAATTACTTAGCATGGCTGTGTTGTGTGATCTCAGGTTGCACTTTTAGTAAATGCTTTATACCTGTGTAGTCCACTGAGTTTCAGTTTAAGTGGTTTGAATGTTTGCCTCATGTATGTTATGCCTTGGCATTGGTTAATAGCCATAGTTACAATTACATTTGTTGAACAAGTCTTTTTTTTAAGATTTTTTTTTATTTGAAAGACAGAGTTACAGAGAGAGTTAGAGACAGAGAGAGGTCTTCTATCTGCTGGTTCACTCCCCAATTGGTTGCAATGGCCAGAGCTGCACCGATCCGAAGCCAGGAGCCAGAAGCTTCTTCCTAGTCTCCCACTCAGGTGCAGAGGCCCAAGGACTTGGGCCATCCTCTACTGCTTTCCCAGGCCATAGCAGAGAGCTTGATGGGAAGTGGTGCAGCCGGCGCTTCAGGCCAGAGCTTTAACCCACTGTGCCACAGTGCAGGCCCCAGAACAATAGTCTTAAGGTTCTTTTTATTTTGAAAAACTGGATCAATGATCTCACTCTGTTCTGTAATGCATGCGTAGAAAACAAATAAGCATATCACAAAATATACTACAAAGGATGTGCCCTTTAAATTGCAATGACGAATCCACAAAATACAGAGCAACTAAATAATATACAGATGAATTTATTTATAAATTCACAAATATATTCATATTCAGAGAGGGGACCCTGACAATGCCTTGCTAGATTTACCCACTGTAGAAAAGATAAATATTTGAATCTGAACAGAAATGAGATCCAGAAGAAAACAAAAATGATTTAATATATTCAAAATGGAAGCTATGCATCGGTATAGATACAAACACATGTGTAAGTATGCATGTATGTATGTGCGCAAACACATACACACACATACAAAGGGACTTCAACATGTTCATGGCAAATATAATCAAAAGATGATGTGAGATGCAGGTGTTTGGCACAGCAGTTAACAAATGAGTTGGGACTTTCACATGATATATCACAGTGGTGGGGGCTAAGTCCCAGCCCTGCTTTCAATACCAGCTTCCTGCTAGTATGCACTTGGAAGGTGGTGGGTGCTTTCTCCATTCAGTGGTTCTCTGCCTCCCACATGGGAAATCTAAGCTAAATTCTTTGTTCTCTGTCTCCAGGCATGTACAGAGTGAACCAGCAGGTAAAATGTATTTTTACCTGTCTCAGTCTGACTTTCTCTCTCTCTCTGCCTCTCAAATAAAATATATAGATAAATAATCAAGCAGAAGTGGTCCTTTGGCCTCGCAGTTAAGAGGCTGGTTATGATACCCTCATCCCATTGGAGTACTTGGGTTCATTCCCCAGCTCTGTCTCTGATTACAGCTTCCGACCAATGTAGAAAGAGGCAGTGATGTTCTGTCTTTGTCACCATGTTGCAGTCCTGTATTGAATTCCTGACTCCTGGTTTTAGTCTACCAACTATTACAGGGAATTGGGAAGTGAATCTGTGGATAGGAACTTTGACTCTATGTCTGTTTTTCTATTATCTCTCCCTCTCTGAGTCTGCCTCTTGAAAAAAATGCAAATTTTCCATGAACATTTTGAAGCCCTGTAATATAGATATTTTTAGATATGAAGATTGACTTATCTTAAAAATGAAATTTTCTGCCTCAGAGTAAGTTAAATCAGTACTTTGTTAAGTAAAAAGATTAAATTATTCTCATCTTATGCATTGCCATCTGACAAACTTGTACTTTTTTTGTGAATTGCAAAAAAATCAAACATTAAAAAGACCTATAAGTAATTATTGATGTATTAATTAGCTTCTGAAGGTAGGTTTGAACATATACATTTCCCTAAGATTTTCATAGGTTGGTAATCATAAGTCATTTTCATTGAGAAAATATTTTATAATATTCTTGCATAATAATTTGGCAAACTGTTTCTGTATACATCTGCTTCAATAGTCTTATAATATGCCACATTACGAAAGTAGCTCTGTGACTCATCCTTACTCCCTTTTCTTTGGTATTTTTCCATGTTTTATTAATGGGGAAGGAATCCTCATGATGAAAAAAAAAAGTGTCTGAATCCTGAAAACACCCAGACTGTTTTGCCTTGCAGATCTAAGATTTTCCAAATTTACAAGGATGGTGGATGGAGTTAGTTCGTATTACTTGGAGAACAGGGCTCATGTTGAAGGGACCACTCAGATGTTGTTCCCTTAGCTTTATTCAAGGAAGACAATTATGTCATACAAAAACAGTTCCTTTGTTCAATCTCAGGAAATAAGTACTCATATGCAACTAAAACACATACCCCTGGGTGTGCTACTACACTGGAAAGGCTTACAATTCTGACCACTTTCCACATCAAAGGCATTTGCACTTCTAGCCACTCACAAACCATTCATCCTCTTTCAGTGTCGTGCTCGAAACTAAATACTCCAAACATGGGCAAACCAGTGCAAAAACTGTGGGCGTATCATCTCCTATTCTCCTAATTTAAACGTGATAATAATTCAGACTGCATTCATTTTGTTCCGGGACATGGTCTATTGTTGCCCAAAACTTTATTTAGTAAGATCAAGTTGATCTTAAGTCAAACGTGATCTTGACTTATCAAGATCATGAATACTAATTAAATCCTTTTTGTCTTCTCAAATATTTATACTTAAACATGGACATTTATATTTTACCCTATTACGTTCCATTCTATTAGCTGTCTCTGATTTTAACTGTTAGTCTTCCTTTAATAAAATGTTACTGACTACAAAAATACAACAATTTTACTAACAAAAAAAATTGAAAAAAGGATAAAGTTAAAAATAAGGGCAGCAATTGTAGAACAGCAGGTTAAGCTGCTGCTTGGGGTGTGTTTATTCCATATCAAAATGCCCAGGTTTGTGCTAATGTGCC